TTTTTGTTAGAATCAGTTAAGACACTTTTATGGAATTTATTATAACTATAAGATCCTAGGGTTGATATCATTGGAATGTTGAGTTTATGATGCAAAGATCTATTGCTGACAGGATTATTGATTGAAAGGATTGAAAGATTTTTAGGTTAAAGTTTTTTGTTGTTCCTCAGAGTTGTTTGCCATACGCTTTTGCAAAGCAAATCGTTTATTTGTAAATTAGCATATGGAATAATGTATAATAAATTTAAATTAATTGTCGTGGTACTTATGAGTTATTCAGTTTTGGTAGTAATACCTACACTAGTACCAAAGACATAAATAAAGGGATTTACGGCAAAATTAGAGGAGTATGACCCCCAACCTCACCTAGACAAGTCACTGGAAATATATGTATAGGTACCTATTATACCTATATGCTTATCGAATATCGATAAATTAATTTATAACTCATTTATATACGTTCAATACCAATACCTACTCTATATGATAATTTCTGAACCACAGAAGTAAACTAAGGCAAGTCATTTTTTGAAATTTTGAATTAGTTACCTATATAATCAGAATATGCTTTTTGTGATATTTTTAAAGGTATATCAACACGTAAGTCCTATATACAATAAATGCATAGATAGCAAGAAGTATAGTAACGTAAGTCCTAAACTATGATAGGAGTATAGAAACGTATGTCCAGCAGGCCCTATTTTTATGTGCACTACGACACACAATGTGCACTACGAATATACAAGTGTGCACTACGATTTGAACGTGTGTGCACTACGGTCTACAAAACAAAAATTGCCAAGTCAGGGATCGGCATGTAAACTTTCTTGATTTTGAATTTTTAGAAATTTTTTAACTGATTTAATCACACCCAAGCGGTCAAACAATATGAATCCAGAAAAATGTCGGCGTGAACAGCCCCACAAAAAATTATTTTCATTTTCATTTAGTGAGATAGATCTCCGAAACCGGACAGCGGATTTCGTTGATTTTGGTCTTGTTGGATTCACATTGGTTAGGAGAAGTGCAGTGAAGATTTGCAGAACTTTATCTTTAATAGTTAATTCACTACAGAACATTAAAATAAATTAAAACAAATTTTATTGGGCGTTTTTTGATGTTTTTCATCTTTACAGCTTTGTAATGAATTAACGATTTTAGATAAAGTTCTGAAAATCTTCACTGCAATTCTCCTAGCAAATGTGAATTTAACAAGACTCCAAACAACAAAATCCGTTCTCCAGTTTCGGAGATCTACATCTCTAAATGAAAATCTAGAGAAAATAACTCTTTTTTTTTTTTATCTGTGAAAAATTAAATAATTAAAAAAAAAAAAATTAATTCCACATTTAGTGTCTACCTGATAATCCCTTTTTAATGAGTTATCAACCAAATTTCTAGCTAGGTATCATAATTTAGGATAAAAGTTAAAAAATAGAAATTTTTGGGACTGTTCACACGAATGTTTTTATCGATTCAAATTGGGTATACCGCTTGGGTGTGATATAAAATCTCTCTTATTAATATTTTATATTAAAGCTAGCTAAATTACCCACCTATTCATCATTACTGAGTTACATTTTTATTATTTTCCTATTTAACACAAATTCTTGAAGTTTTCAAAGTTCAGACTTTTTTCATTTTAATTACTATACTTACTTGATGAAAAATCAAGAAAGTAATATGCATTGTTATGATTTTAATTATTAAAAAGTTAAGTTAAGGTTTTTATTATTATATTATGCTATTTAATTTTTATGATTTTTATTAAAAGATAAGTATTTTGTTGTTTTATTGAATTGCATTGTTAAATTATTGTATACATATGGTATATAATATATATATATATATGTAATATGTATTATGTAATACATTCCTTTTGCTAAGATGGTAGCGAGAATAAAATGAAATGTGCAGTCCGAAATTTTACAAATAATAGGGCCTGATGTCCAGAGTTTACCTACATAAGAAAATTATATATATAGATAATACAAAATAATATTTTTGAAGTATACAATGGTAAGTCGTTGCAACAAATATTTTGTTTTGTCTCTCCTGTAAAATTTGCTATTTGTGACTTGCGTTAGTTGTCTTCTGTGGTACAGATATGTATATGGATTTGTAGGTACACCAAAAAATCATGCTAGGAATTGGGAAATCAAATATAAATAGTCACCAATATTGTCATTTTAAATCAAAAGTTGATTATGATTTCACCCTCAGTGGAGGTATGTAAAATAAGGTCAGTATGAAATTCCAGGAAATCAAAATATATTATATATATCTTACATTTTCCAATAAGAATATGATGTAAAAAGTTATTTCTTTCCTTCATCATTGAAAAATAATATAATACCTAATAATAATTGTCTATAAATAAATATAAACATTTAGATTTAGTTACAAATCATATTGAATCGTTCAACCCAACAATATCCCATTACCGCAGTGAACACTCGCCAAATGTACGCTACTTGCCGAGCGATGTTACAATAACTTTCATGCATCAAGATTTTTTGGAAAAATACACCGAACCAGAATTTTTTATTTCTTATCCATACTATAGAGATCAAGTTAAAAGAAAAAAATATATCGTTTAATCAACTTGGACACGAAGAATGTGAGGTTTGTGAGAGCCTCAAAATTCAAGAGCATTCTAAAGATCGATTGATACCTGATTGTGTTGTGTATGCAACTTATTTAACCCACATAAAAAAAGCTAATGCTGCTGGAGAATTATATCAAGAACACGCCAAAAATAACAGTAACAACGAAGATAAATCGATTTATTTTTCAGTTGATTTACAGAAATTAATGATGCTACCAAGGTTAGGCACATTTAAAAAAAAGGTGGGTAAGTGGATGTCGCTCTGCTGTACAGTAGGTTACAAGTGGGTCACTATATAATGGATGCTATTAAATTTGAATTCAATGATATAATATCATTGTATAAGAAAAACGATTCTGAGCGAAGACGGTATGTCAGTCTAGGTTTAAGACAAATTAAATACATATCTATGGTATTAAAAAAAATTGACCTATAATAAATTCCAAATTAATCATATCACATTATCACAATATCCATTAGGTACTTATAACACGTTATACTTCAACATCAATAACAAACCCTGATACTATCATAGATATATAATAGTACACTTTAGAAGTTTCAAGTAGGTACCCACGAATAATATTATATAATCACAACAAAATAACTAGGTTTTTTAATATGTAATTTCGTCCAAATTTGAACATAAAATGACTATAAAAATAAACTGTGATTGTATATTTTTTAGATTTTTCGGTAAGAGAATTAACTACTTACGTGGAATCTTGTTTTAAATTTTCAATCCTTAGCTATAAAAACTGAACATTTTATAACTTATTAATTACGATGATTAATACATTTCGAGATTTTGAAAAATTCTGTCAAAATTCGATGTTTAAATGCTTAAAAAAAAAAATTGTGCCTATGTATTTTTAATATTTTTCAACTGATATTGTAACAATATATCAGGAGCCTTGTATTACATATTTACACTTTTTGGCCCAACAGATAAAACTTTATTGATATTCATAGAAAAAAAAACTAAAAAATTGAAAAATGAAAATATCCGTAAACAGCTCAAAAAGAGTCAAAATATTTTCAAAATTGTATGGTGTATAGGAAATGCTAATATAAACATTCAGTGAAATTTTTATGTATCTATAGTTATTCGTTTATGAATAACAACAAAATAAGGAAATCGCTACATGAGAAATCGAGTCAACATCCAATGTTGTAAAAATTTGAATTTCAAACGCTCATAAAAATTTAATTTGACTGTCCGGTAGAGATTTTTTTATTGTTAAAGGTAGACAAACTTATGAGTAATCTTGTAGTACATTTTCAAATCTTAGATTTAAAAAGAAAAATTTTTACGAATTCTTAACTCAAAATAATTTGCTAATTTTCGTGATTTTTCCATATTTTGTCAATTTTTGAACTTTAAATGCTTATAAAAAAAAACTGTGACTAACGATTTTTAATATTTTTCATCTGCCTTTCAAACAATATACTAGGAGCCTTCTATTAAATTTTCAAGTTTTTTTAACCAACAAATAAAATTTTATCGATATTTCTAGAAAATAAACTAAAAAAAATGAAAAATAAAAATGTCCCTAAACAGTTCAAAATAAATCAAAATATTTTGAAAATGTTATCGTGTATAGAAAATGCAAATATAAACAACCAGTGAAAATGTTATGTATCTACGGTCATTTGTTTTAAAGTTACACCAAAAACCAAATTCGATTTTGCGTAAAAATTCCCGTTTTTCCTTCATTTTTCTTTTGTTTTTCTTGGCGCTTTTGAAAAGTACTGGGAATTTTAAATTTTGACCTCCCCAATGCACCAACGATATTCACTTTCCAATCGAACAAGATACTGAAGTCGAAAATCGAAGCATTATTTCGACTACTTATCGTGTACACAGACACAAAAAAAAAAAAAAAAAATAAACACACATCATTGTAAAATCAATACATTCATCGTTTCACTCAAAATCTAAAATTTTGTTCATTAAACGACTTGTAGGCTTGTAGCATACCACGAAAGTTTTGTACCTCTAGGAAAAAAAGGAAATCTACTGCCATTTTCTTATGTGTGGCATGAAGGAATAAGTGGTCGCAAGAAAGAAGATTTAATCAGCACTTTTTTCAATTTTTTTACTAATTATCGTGACGCAAATACAATTACTATTTGGTTAGATAACTGTAGTAGCCAAAATAAAAATTGGTGTTTGCTATCATTTTTAGTCTACATGATAAATTCTAGTGAAATTTCTGCAAATGAAATTGTTTAAATTTTTTCGAAGCTGGACCTTTATGTCAGCTGATAGTTTTCATCACCAAGTAGAACAATCGCTTAAGCACCAAAAAAAAAACTTACGACTTTGAAGATTTTGTTAAAGCTGTAGGAGCAGCAAATAAATCAAAAGTAGATGTAAAAATTATGAATTATGAATTATTTTTATTTATGGATAGATTACAAATCACAACAAAAACTTCATAAATCGTCAAATCGTGTATTATTAAAAAATGTCGTTTCTATAAAAGCTGTTCGAAATAAATTTAGTTTGTACACGAAATGTAATTTTGAAGAAGAATATGCAGAGCTTGATTTTTTAAAGAAAAGTATTAGGAAAGTATCCAGAGTAGCTAAACCTCAACCATTGAAAGGACCTTGTGGCATTCCTGTTGAGAAAAGAAACGACATTCTCAACAATTTGACACAAGTTATTCCACAAAATAGGAAAACGTTTTGGGAAAATATTCCAATTCATAATTATTAAACTAGGTATGTATTATTTTTTTTTTTTAATTTTACGATCAAATTTATTAATTTGTAATAAAACTCATGTTTATAATTATTATAATATTTGATTTATTTATATAAATATTATTAACAAAATCGATTTTGGTTTTTGGTTAAACACTAAAACAAATGAGCAGGGCCGGTTATAGGCGTAGGCGACGTAGGCACAAGCCTACGGCGGCAAAATTTATAACTATATAGAGGCGGCATATAAGAAAAAATCAAATATCTTATTTTTCACGTTTATTTTAGATTTTAACAAATTTCAAAATACAATATACAAACATATTGTGTAGATCGATAAAACTCCAAAACAATATTCAATAAAAATAATACAGATAATTTTTCCCTGAATTGCGATAACGTCTCAAAGCATGTTGTGCCATTACAATTTAATCGATAATAATTCTATTAGCGTTTTTGCAATTGGAGACTGTTGTGTGTCATTCACTCTCACTGTACAGTGTAGTGTACTAGTGTAGGTACATTCTTTATTGAGCTCAACAATATAATTTTTTTATAAATCAAGACATATACGATATACATCTATCAAGACTTCATTACACAATAGGTAAGTAATATAAATATAATATATTTTTAATTTACTGTTAATCATTATTGGTACCTATAGCGCGTAAATTATTCAATAGTATACGGTCGCCGTTATAGTGAAACTGCCGCCCGACAGTTCAATCATAATATTATGTAAAATGGTTAGGTTATGGTTTGACGGATGGCCGGAGGAGGCCAGGGAGAATAAGCTGCGTATTATAGACGCTATTGAAACTGAGTTCACGACAGTAAATAATATTGCCGTATCGCGCGTCGTTCTTAGTCTTCTTCATAATTGAATGTATTTTTATTTATTTAATAAATTAGAACACGTTTACTACAGGCATAACATCTTCTATCTGATATTTATTGTATTTGTAATTATTTTAAAAATGCAAAAAGACCAAATAATAGAATTTTTGTTAACTAGTGGTTAATTAACTATGTAATACTGTTATATAATTAGTTTTTCTTGTCCGTTGTTGTATGGAGTTTATGTTAAATAATTAAAAAATAAAATAATATTAATTAATTATTATCTTATTTATTCAGATATTATGGCTGATGACATAAAAAAGCGTAAACGATTATCAGGTTCGCAATATTTAAAGAAAAGACTAGCACGGGAGAAAGATTTAGTTAAACAAAAAGGTAGTTTACTGAAATTTTGTCAACAAAATAGTCAAGCAAATGTTATTAATGATAATGATACTGATGACAGTGAAGAAAATAGTGGAAATAAAAATATTGAAGATCTAAGTATGGGCGAAGTTGACAATAAAAAAAAAGAACATGACAATGAAAGTAAAGAAGAGATTAATATAACTGAAAAGAATAGTGCCAATTTAAATATTAAAGATATACATGATATAAGCAGCAGAAAAGCTGATTTTGACTCTGAAAATGAAAACAAGAAAGAGATTGCTATAAGTATTATAAGTGAAGAAAATATTGAAAATAAAAAATCTTGTAATTATGATGAAAAGTACACCAATTTTAAGTCTCTTGATTTTGATGACCCTAATAAATGGCCCTCTATCGATGATAAATTAAGACTTTATTTAATAGAGTGTGGACCTCGTCAAATAAATATGGAAACATTTCCTATTAACACTAGTGGTAGATCATTTTCATCTTTTCACTATTTTCGACGTTTACCTAATGGTGAATGTATTAAACGTTCTTGGATAATTTATTCTAAATCAAGTGATTCTGTGTTTTGTTTTTGCTGCAAATTGTTTAATATTGGAGTAGTATCTCTTACAACCAATGGTAATAATGATTGGAAAAATATATCAAATATATTGAACAGACACGAGACGTCAAATTCTCATAAAAAGGCATATCAAAATTAAATAAATTATATGCTCCAATCAATAAATGACCGATTTATTCAACTTGAAGACCATAGTAAATTATTTTCATTTCTTTATAATATTTCTAATGTAAATAATTATGAACATTTAATGAAGTGCTGTAAAGATCTTCAGCTAGCACTTTCTTCAAATGACGGTTTAAATTCTGATATAAATTCTGTCGAACTTTGTGAAGAAATAAATACATTACAAAAACATTTGCAAAATGAAAATGATCCAAAAGCAATTTTACAATTTATATGTGAAAACAAATTAATAGAATTATTTCCTAATGTATACGTAGCTCTAAGAATTTTATTAACATTACCAGTAACTGCAGCTTCAGCTGAAAGAAGCTTTTCAAAATTAAAAATTGTAAAGAACTACTTAAGATCACAAATTTCACAGGATCGTTTAGTTGGATTGGCAACAATTTCAATTGAAAATCAAATTGCGAATGATCTTGACATTGACGATTTAGTTAAAGATTTTGCGTCAGCAAAAGCAAGAAAAATACATTTTTAAAAATTATAACTAAATATTGTATTTCATAATAACTATTGTAATACCTTACAAACAATCCATGTACTATTAATTTAGTAATTTCTTTTTTATTATATAATAATTGACAAGTGTAAAAAGTTTTTAATTTTTTTGCTCCTACATAATATGACATTTATCTATGTAAGTTATAATAAAATAAGAGGCGGCAATTTTGATCTTTGCCTACATATAAAAAATTGCTTGCGCCGGCCCTGCAAATGAGTCATGACCGTACATGAAATCCATGAAATTTCTACTGAATGTTTACATTAGCATTTTCTATACATCATACAATTTTCAAAATAGTTTGACTAGTTTTGAGCTGTTTACTGACATTTTAAGTTTCCAATTTTTTTTAGTTTTTTGTTCTGTAAATGTCAATACAATGATTTTCTTTGGGTCAAAGAGCTTGAAAATTTAATACAAGGCGCCTGATATATTGTTACTATATATTGATATTATATCATTCAATTCAAATTTAACACCATCCATTACAGTGACCCAGTGTTAGTTAGGTTTGACCCCCCCCCGCGAGTACGCCACTGGCCCACCATAAGACATTTAAATACGCCCCTGCTTATACCAAATACAATATTGTATACCTATGCCCTATGGTCTAAGATACATATATTATAATAATAGTATATTTTTAACAATGATTATTAGTTATTACCTCTGTATAGGTTGTACAAATGTACAATTAGTAAAAATATATTATAATATGTCTAAAATAGTATTATTAGATACTTACCTTAAATATTTTTATTAACGATGGATATGTATGCACAGTGATTAATCAAGCATGCTAACCTAATTTTTCTCCAATGATGCAGTTATTCAAAATCTAAATTTTGGAAATTTTAAATAATATGTACCTACCTATCTTTATGGAGACCATCTTATCAAATTCTTGAGGTTTCTTGAACCACAGGAGTCAGGAGTGTCCTGTGACGACTGTCGATTCAAACTTCTATTTTTCAAATGAGAACCCCACTTTTTACTGTAAATAATTTATTTATAAATTTTATATTGATGCACCTAATTAAATATCAGAGTGACCAGTATCAGCAGTTTCTCAGTTATTAAAATGTTTATGCCTGGATATAATAGTCATTAAAATGGTTTTACAAAATTATTAAGTAGATATATAATATATAATATAATGTAATATCACTAATATACTAATATTGGTTATTAATTCACTTATTATAGTATTTATTTTTTTCTAAAATGTTCAAATCGCCATAGCCTCCATAGGCTCCATTGGCTGTATTTTCTTATCAATCTTATCACAATTTCTCATTATCTCTTTTAAAAAAAATCCAAAATTTGATTTAAAACTATACAACTTACTACTTAGCATGATGGAAGTTTTACTTTTTTCTGTTTAGTTAACTAAGACATTTAATTTACTTTTATGTTTCTATGTTAAAATATGATTTTGTAAATTTTACTTGAAACTATATAAGATTTGGAACAAAATGAGCAAAAGAAAAGCTCCAAGTGATTCCACAAATCCAAATCACGATTTTTGTGAATTTTTGATAGGTTAGTAAGCTCACACCTTACCTAAAAGCCAGAGGTCAACCTAACTTTGTTTTGAATACAAAGTTTAAATTAAATTAAATTTTAATAAATTAATTTTTAATATTCTTTTTGTTTAGAATTGGCTGATTATGAGAAACATGTTGTACGTAATAAATATAAGGGCAACGCTTACCAAAAAGCAGCGAGTGCATTAGCTAAGTACGGAAAACGAATTAATTCTGGCGAGGAAGCTCAAAAACTAGATGGAATTGGTGCTAAAATATCCAAGAAAATTGATGAGTTTTTAGAAACTGGAACATTAAAAAAACTGGATAATGTATATTTTATATAATATATTAAAACTAGCTGAATTTATACTTTTTATCAGTTTTTATATTACATGGAGAGGTTGCTTTTTGATGATTATCTTTACAAATTATTGTTATTAATTTAATTTCTTAAAAATAGTTGTTACCGTTAGCTATAGATATAATTACTGTTTTATATTTTTAAATTACAGATAAGAGTTGATGATGCTGCAGTTTCTATTAAAGATTTAACAAGAGTTAGTGGTATTGGACCAGCTAAAGCAAAAGAATTATATGATTCAGGTGTTACAAATATTGACATTCTATTAAAAAATCAAGATAAATTAAATCATCATCAAATTTTGGGACTTAAGTATATTAATTTTAGTAATTATTTGCTCTTAACACAATTATAATAATTTATCAATTCATTTAGGTATTTAAATGACTTTGAGGAAAAAATACCAAGAAATGAAGTTGTTGAAGTAGAACAAATTATCAAGAAAACATTACATAATTTGGATCCTAAATACAAGGTTACTATTTGTGGCAGTTATAGGTTAGTTATTAATATTACAAAAACTATGGTGTTTGAATATATTTATGAAATATACATTTTATATTTTTTCTATAAAAAACATATTTATTCTTTTTTTTTTTTTTAATTTTAGACGAGGTAAAGAGTTTTGTGGAGATATTGATACATTGATTTCTCATCCATCGTTTATGTCTCATGGTCTTAAGAAAAAAAGTGACAAATTGCAAGTGGTTGTGGATATTCTGAAAAAAAATAACCTCATCACTGAAACTATATCGTTGGGGGAAGCAAAGTTCATGGTAATTATTTAATAACTATTTATTTATTAATATTAATAAATAATAATAAATAATTTTTAATAACATACGTATGTTAAAATTACACTTTTTAAGAGCATAAAATTAGTTTTTAACAACAGATAGGTACTTCAAACATATTTGAATAATGAATAGTTAGTTGTTGTTAAAAATAATGTTTCCATTTTTGATTTGTACTAAATTAAAATATATTTTTTTGTGTGAATTACTATATTTATTTAATGGTTTTCATTTAATTTAGGGTGTATGCAAAGTGAATTGTATATCAAGGAGATTAGACATTCGCCTAAATCCATATGATCAGTTTTATTGTGCCGTTCTTTATTTTACTGGGAGTGATTTATTTAATAAGCAAATGAGAGAGCATGCTATAAAGCAAGGTTTTACACTTAATGAATATACTTTGCGGCCAATGGGTTCTACAGGTAAAAATATGTTGTATGAAATTACTAATTAACCAAAGAAGACGCCACACCCGTATGTGTTGTCTCCATCTTACAAACGCTTAACATACCAAATTTTTTGCTCAGCAGTTCACGTTTTATGCAGTTGGCTTAAAAATTAGAGTGAATTGACCTATTATGAAACTAGATGGTAAGAACATTATCTGCGTTGTTTTGATAGAAGTTTTTTTTACAATAATTCAGTTTTTAAGTGAGTTATGAGCATTTTTAATTTACATTTATTATACACTCGCTTAAAAACTGAATTATCCTAAAAAAACTTCCATCAAAATACAGATAATGTTCTTACCATCAAGTTTCATAATAGGTCGATTCACTCTAATTTTTAAGCTAACGGCATAATTGTGAACTGCTGAGCGTAAATTTGGTATGTTACACGTTTGTAAGACGGAGACAACATATGCGGGTGTGGTGTCCTCTTAAATATAGGCTACTATGTCAATCAACAATTGTATTTATGTGTTCTGTCATTATATCAGGTATACCAGGTGAACCTGTGGAGATAAACAGTGAAGAAGATATTTTTGATTATATAGATTATCCTTACAAAAAGCCAGAAGAACGCAATATATAGTTTTATATACTTAATATAATATTATTCTATTTATCTAACTTTGATTAGTATTTTATCGTTTATTTAATTTGTTTGTAGGTATATACTATGTAGGTATTATTTTATTAAGTTGTAATAATTATGTTTGAATTATTCATGTTATTCCTAATAAAACGGTGTCTCTAAATATAGAAAAATGTGCAACTATTTCCTTCTCCTTAAAAAAAGAACCAATCACCTCTGATTATAAATTAAAAAATATTAAAATCTCACGAGTTAATGAAATTAATGATCTTGGAGTTACGTTTGACTCAAAACTTAATTTCAAACTACATATTAATAAGTAATAATATTATTAAAAAATCATCATCCAAACTAGGATTTATCAAGCGCACTTGTAAAGACTTCCACGATGCTCATGCTCTTAAATTGCTATATTTCTCATTAGTACGCTCTCAGCTGGAATATGCAAATTTGATTTGGCATACTAACTCTATAACCCAAAATAAAGACCTCTCTGAAATTCAAAATAATTTTTTAAGATTTAAGCTTTCAATGTCATATTTATAGAGCTCCTCATTCTGATTATAATATTATAAATAGGCTTTTCTCTATATTACCACTTGAAAAAAGATTTACACAACTTAATTTAAAATTCCTTTATAAACTATTACACAATATTATAGATTTTCCAGAACTTGTTGAACGCTTATGCTTCAAAATAAATCCCCTAAACTCTAGACAAAAACAACTTTTCTATCCACCAAACATTTCATCCAAATATATGTCATTCTCTCCTTCTAATACTCTAATAGCTATAGGAAACTCCATACATAATATAGGGTATAATTGCAGTTTAGCTACCACGAGATTTTTTCAAATTTTTTTTTCGAAACCTAGGTAATTCAACGTTTTAAAAATGATGGTGCCAAAAAAAAAATTGCGCAAACTCTTAGTTTTTGAGTTATAACTGTTAGAAATTCAAAAATTCCTAAATATTGCATTTTAAATTTTGAATTTTTTTTGTGGTAGACATTGTATTTTGACTATTTAAAAACGATGGTGCAATCAGAATTTGTCGATCGAATTGAGTTTGAAAGTTATAGCGGTTTTAAGTTAAAAATTTTGGATTTTTAAAGAAAAATTTTTTTGTTGAACCAAGGCGCCAAGTGAGGTAGTTGCGCCTTACCTGCTCCGGTTATATTTTTCAGATATATAATTTCTCTGAATCCAAATATCGTAAATATAAATGTTTCTGTAATTGGCAAAAAACAACTTTGTTTAATTCCAAGGTTCACCTGAGGTGGTTTTACACAACAAATCGGGGGATATTTTCGATTTGCGGAGCGGAGCGACGGCGCCGAGGAGCGTAGCGACGAGTGCCAATACACTCGTGATCACTGCAACTTTTAACTTTCATAACTTAAAACCCCTATAACTTTCAAACTAAATTCGATCGACAAATTCTGATTGCACCATCGTTTTTAAATAGTCAAAATACATAAGTCTACCACAAAAAAAAATTCAAAATTCAAAATTTGGGAGTTTTTGAATTTCTAACAGTTATAACTCAAAAACTAAGAGTTTGTGCAATTTTTTTTTGGCACCATCATTTTTAAAACGTTGATTTACCTAGGTTTCGAAAAAAAAATTTGAAAAAATCTCGTGGTAGCTAAACTGCAATTGTTCCCAAGTGTTTTGATGAACTGTATAATGTACATGCATATTTTCAGTGGCGGAACCAGGGGGTGAAGCCGGAGCGTAAAATTTCAAATATCTATAACAATAAATACATTTATAAAATAATTGATTATATAACATATGTAAGTAAGCAACTACATTTTCCCTCCTCTTATACTAAAATATAACAATAATCAATTTTGGTTTGTGTACTGTTTCCTCAGATGCAACATTCAGATCATCCCTAGAAATGTATTTAACTTCTTGATCAAACATTAAATTAAGGTATTCTTCAACATCAACCACTTCTCTAAGAACCAAAATATAACAATAATTATTACAACTTTCATACAGAATCATAATAAGAAATATTTCATACGAAAAGTGTTGTAGAATGTATAATTCTGAACTTTTTAATAATTTCATAGAGCTATGTATTCCAGCTAACTCATTAATTCCAAGGCAATTTGAGGCTTGCAGCTGTTTATGTAAAAAATCACAACATGCCTCGTGTACATCGTTTATTTGTAAAATATTAGCTGCTTGTAACAATTCCTAGAGAAATAAACAATAAACAAATTTAAAAAAATGATGTTGCCTATAAGAAAAATCAAACTTTAACTATTATTACTTTTACATTGTTTCCAGCCACAATGACTTCCCTGCCATAAATGAAGTCTATTATGAGCTGTAAACTAATCGAACTTAATGACAATATTTTCAAAACTTTTTTTCGAGGATAGTTTTGGAATACTGTATGGAAATAGTAACTAGCCGATGCTAAAACCACTTTATGTCCTGGTATTAAAGTGTCATAATGTGTTTCTATATTTACATTACAATATTACAATAAACCTTGTCTAAAAACAAAAATGTGTTACTAATATTTAAATACTTAATAGTTAAAACCACAAACTACTTACTTGCGTAAGGATTGCAATAACTCAAATATGTCCAAATGAGAGGTTTTTTTTACACTTATATTTTACTGGCTCACATACACCGAAAATTGGTATTTGCTGTACATTTTGCATTGTAAATTGTATATTAGTTCCAGGGCTTGGTGCGATAATACAACAACAAAAATAATATGTACAAATAACAATTTAAAAAATAATGGATTCTAAAATATTATGGAAACACATGCATTTCTGTAATCATCATAGGCGCAAATTGGGGGGGGGTCGGGGGTGCCAAGCCCCCCCCCCCAAAAAAAAAACCTAGGATATATAATTTTAATATGCTATATTGCAATGGTCTGCTTGCCTTTAATATATATTCAGCCCCCCCAAGCCAAAAGTTGAAATTACGCCTATGGTAATCATTGGTTGTCGACTTAAATCAGTAACAGTAATGGTATTAAAAACAGCAACGGTGAACGGAATAATGTTATGTCTCGACGGCTCGTTGAGGTAACACAGGGAACGTACGGAGGTTAAAACTTATAAGAACGATTCAGTGTGAATGTGAGTCGTGAGCTGATTCTGTTATACAATAATACAATATACAAAAAGTCTAGTATGGCTTCAAGTCATATGCAGAAAGGGCCCGAGTGGCGAGTATAAAACTCAGAATCATCATCATACATAACGCCGTTTTTAAATTTCTCATAATGATAATATTGTTTAAACCAATGAAAAATGTATAAAGACTGTCGCCATCTTTGCACAACATAATATACAAATTGGTTCATTGCCATAATATCATGAAGATTTCCAAGAAGAAAAATTCGATACGTATCGACATGGAATAGTTACGTATCGCTATTGTATATTGCACGTCATGTAACTACTTCTTGAACGCTCTTGAACTCAAATTTCTCCCTTGAAAATCTTGAATAATATCATCTAAGACCGTGATTGCCATCATACCTAGTCTATTATATCGGTAACAGTTAGCACCATGTTTAATAATTTATTCAGTTTACAAGACTTATCATATTTTAGATTAAAATGCGAATGTGTCCCTATAATAAATTGGATTCTTCAATTATTAGGAATATTGGACGGACTTGGTTGTTCAATAATAATTGCAATAAGCCAATAAACATCAATGAAACATTGAAACCACTCCCAGAGGCAACGAACAGGGTTATTTTGAATAGGTATTTTATTTATTGTGAAATACTGAAATATAATATTTAAAAGGGGTTTGGTGCGCACTTGACACACCGTCAATTTACAATAACCGTGGTTGTGGTTAATGTACGATCAAGTCAAGTATCGTTATCTGACAATATTACGACACAAGATTTGATAAGATTATGTTTTTAATAAAAAAAAAAAAAACATTGTTATTCACTGATTCGTAATATTATTAATGTTAATGTTAAAATATGTTAATCTGTTAATTGTAAACAAATTTATAGGAGTTGTGAACATTTTTTTCACATACAGTTTTTGAATAAAATATACATATGTTTAGAACTGAACCAGACAAGTATTTATTGTTTGTATGAATTCGTCAATGTTATAGTGTTGATACCAATTTTTTGAATTAAAACATTTCAAATTTAAACACTTTTATTTTACAATGGGGAAAAAGCAAGTTGCTCAGAGGGTCAAAAATAATTACAAAGTAAGTTGGTTTGTCGTTGATCTGATATTGTGAAATTGGTATTGAAAATGAATGTTTACATTCTAGCCATCAAGCAGTGCAAGAGCTCAGTTATTGTTGAGTACTACTGATACGTATGGGGTTATTCCGGATAAGCTTAAATTTCCCTTTGCTGACATTTTGGATTGCAATGTCAGTCCGGATTTTCAAGTGGTATTGAAAAAAATGAACAAAAAAGATTCGACCACTAAACTCAAAGTATGTAAATATGTAATGATATACCTATAACCAATGACTAAATACAGGTCAAACAAATTTGGTGACGTTTAATATGTGTTGTGTAGGCCTTAAAAGAATTTGCTACGTTGTGTGATTCTAAAGATGAAGATACTGTCAGAGAAGTTTCAGCACCATGGATCGCTCAATATGTAAATTTATGTAAGGATAATGAACCACGTATCCGCGAAGGTACCCAGAAAGCTCTGCGATCCTACTTAAACCGCGTACAACGAAATGTAGCACCATTTTTAAAGAGGTTTTTTGCCCATTGGTTTGTGGCTCAGTATGACACTCATCCACCAACTGCATCTGTTGCATCATCCACATTCGAGGTTTGTACATCTATATCTGTATAGATTTAAATTTGACTTTATGTTAAACTTTATAATTTAGAATACTTTCCCTCCAAATAAAAGAGTTGAAGTAATTGTATTTTGTCAAAAAGAAATATTTAATTATTTAATTGAGAACATAACCAATCCATCATTATTAAATACTAAGTAAGT